CCCATCTCTCTTTCTGATATTGTAGCAGTGATGAATCTTCTGATGACAGGATTGCGTCTTAATGCACAATCATCTAAACAAATATCGTTGCAACGCGCTATGGAATGCATCAGCACTGCATGTACGATGACCACAAGACATCAGACTTAATCCATTTCTCTCTCTCAGCTTCCGATCTAACACAATCGAACCAAATCACTCCCCTAATTTCGACTCCTTCTGCTCTCTTTCAAATTCTTTCTTTCTTTTGCGACGCTGATCAACTTGGTACGGGCATGGTGTTCATCTTCAGCGTTCTTGCATCTCCATTCCAGATCTTTGTCCCAACGCGACTCTCCCAAATCGCTATGATTATTATATTGAGTGTTTGCCCCGTATTTCAAACCAAACAACAGTTTCTCTTTCAAAATCCAAAATTCTTCGACTCATCACTCGCCATACACTTATTCAAGTCTCTTCAATTCCTTTGGATTTGTTTATTGCAAGAGTGAAAGAATCGTTTCAATCAGTTTTGCCTTTAGAGCTTCAAGATGATGAAAACACAATTCCTTCATCAATCGATATTTTCTTCTGCCGCGGTGATGGAACCACTCGTATGTCCAGTAAATCATTTCAATTGGAGGAATTCCTGGGACCGATATTTCTCCACGTTTATCTTTTTATGTCTTCCACGTTTATCTTTTTATATCCTCCACGCTTATCTTTTATGTCTTCCACGTTTATCTTTTTCATATTTATTTAGGGTTATCCAAAGACAACTTTTACTTTTCTACGCTTCACCGGAATTTCTTTTACATTGTACGTTTTTATCAATGATGATCTTCGGATATTTTGACATTTCAGCTTCAACATCTTATCGGTTTTGGAGTGTATGATAACAACATAAATCCAAAGCGATTGGTTTCCTTGTTCCATTCTTATGATTTAGAGTCTGATTGGCGCATTAGATTAGAGGTATGTTCTTATCATCTCCATATGTGGGATTCTACTCTCCTCTTCCTAAGGAAATGTTTAACGTGAAACGTCTGTGGACGCTCAAAGAGTTCGACTGTTATCTAGAACCCCTACGAGGTCACTATGAATTCCCACCTTCAAGCGAGATTATCGCTAAATATCTTCTCGTTAGTCGTAGAATCGCCAAACAACAAATTTTCCCTTGTAGCGTCAGGGTGAGACGAAGCCGGACAGAGAGGCTCTCTATTTCAATCGCCGGTTGTTTTTGGATTGACTCAGAAAATTAGAATGAAGCAATTTATATTTAATCAGTACAGAATGAAAAAAAAATAATGAAGCATTCACTGAAACAACAATTACGACAGAAACAATTGACGTAACAGCTTCTTTGTTTCTGCCGCGTTCTTCACTGGATATCCAATCGTCCGCTGGTCTTTGAAAATCGCGTGGTCATTGCCGCCTGGTTCAGTGCGATCTCCGAAGAAATGAATCGCATCGAAGTGGTTCTCGATATGCTTCAAGCATAACGTCTTGTCCCAACCGCTTGGGAAGCAATCTATCGAAATCTGTCCTCCAACAGCAAAATCCAACCCTAAACTTGAGCCAAAGGTCTCACACAAACTTTTAACAAATTTCTCTCGAATGCCGTGGAGCTTGTCATATTTTTCGAACTCATCGCGTTCGCTGTGAGAGCAATTCCGTCCAATTGGACATATATTGATCAATCCACTGAAAAACAGAAATAAATCTTCGGTGTCTTGATGAGTTTGTTCTTACGTTCGGAATTCTATGAACGTTCCTCTTTTCTTAGGAAGGTCTAAATCAGCAATGTAACGTAGAGCGAAATTGATGAGGGCTTGAATGTTTTGTTCCCCTAAATAGTTGAGTAATGAGAGGTCCTCGCCCAAGACTTCTCCGCGATATCTCGCTATTGATCCATTTTCAGGAAACAAGTAATCGACCACACTGTAAATGTCTCCAGCTGGTTTCAGTTGTTCTCTCATTTTTCCTTCATTTGATCCTGACACAATCCCAATCGCCATGTGCTCTTTTAATTCCTTTAAAACTTCAATCATGTCCGATTCAATCGGCAATCTTGATGGCGTTAATGTTCCGTCCAAATCAAACAGTAAAATTGCATTGTCGCGCTCTTTCGCGCCTCCGTTCGACATTTCACCAGATGGCATTATCGCGCGCCTGATGGTTTCTGCCCAGCAGTCCGGTGTGCCGGATACGTCTTCTCTCCTCAATCTCATAAATGAAGCCATTTCGGGGTTGTGGAGTCATCGACTTCTTCCCTCGTCATCGATTCTGTCGCCACTCATAAAAGTATGAATCTCTTCTTTCCGCCACATCTTTTGTGGAGGAGTCGTCACGCCGACGGTTTCAGTTCCAGCGACACATTTCGACGGCTTTCGGACGTCACCCTCGATTCCCACCGAGTCTCAGAGTGTCGATCTTCCCGCCGACGATCTTCAAATGAGAGACCGACTTCCCCCAGTCCCCTAGAACAACCCGTTAAAGAGGATCCAACCCCAAAACATGCGTTTCCAACAGAAGAGTCTTCTGTTCCTTCAGAGTCCTCGTCCCTTGTCCCACCTTCCCCGTCACCATCCCCTGCTTCAGTCGCACCACCACAAGTTCATCCTCCAACACTCTCACCTACTCATAAGTTTCCTGGCCGTCCTCCTGGCCCTCCCCCTGGCCGCTCTCCCCCTGGCCGCTCTCCCCCTGGCCGCTCTCCACCTGGTCGCCCTCCACCCGACCCCCCTTCTGGTTCTTCTCGCTCCCTGCCTTCGAAGGTTCCCCCCAGCCGGACAACGCCTTCTCATTCTTTAGGTCGACGCCTAAATTGGCGACCATTCGGCACTTCTGTTCCAAAGTCGACCGTATTCGACGATATTCAACGTAGGCGTGTTCGATACCCCCCCAAATCGATTCTCTTGTCGTCAGAATTATTGTCCTCTGAATCCGTTAGAAGATCTGTTGATCCCAATGTTGTAAGTGCCTGCCACCAAACTGGTTTCATAACCGATTGTTTCATCAGTTAATGTCCAACTTTCGGCGGGTGCCGCCACAAAAAGCTACTGGCTTGCCTGAGTCGCCCCTTCCCCAGCCGACAGCAACGGCTATCCTCAGCCAGCAAAAAGCTCAAAATTTGATGATTGTCGCCCGCAAAATGACAGTGAAACCGCTGGTGAGACGTTGATCTCGGTGTTCCATTCATGCTGGCTACTCAGGCTCTTCTTCGAAATGTTTTGGAACTTGATCCTACACTCAAAAACGTTGAACTTGAGAAGTTCACGAAATTTTTACCAGATGCCGATGAAATTCGTCGGTTCACCTCTTATTTCAACAAAGGTACTCAAGAGATTCATCTTAAGGTTATTCTGAATGTTGTTAGGAGGAAGCATTGATGAGCTACGAGAAATTGATCGCTCAGTCGCTGCTCTACTTCCACAAAATGTTCCTGCTCTAAAAGCTGCAGTTAAGACGCTTCAAGTCAGCTACGATTTAAGCGAGCTGGAACAAACAGTTCGAGGAGATCTGCGTGCCCTCTTAACGGGATGCTCAACGGTGAGACAAAATGTGAATGTGCAGCGATGTGGTTGAATAAAATTCCTTAATAAACTTCTTTGATTTCAGATTTTTAATAATAGAGGATTAAAACGTCTTCTTGCTGTTTGTCTTCGAGTTGGTGATTTCATTCAACATGCAACAGATCTTCAAAATTCAACTCAAACGAAGGGATTTTATTTGGATTCTCTTAAATCGTTGAGAGAGTTCAAAAGTGTTTCAACTTCGGGGAGTTTGTTGCACTACGTTTTATTATCGATGGTACGCACTCCAAACTTGAATGGATTCCCTCATGGCTATTCGTGTAGATTCTCGAACCAGATCCTTCCGATGTTGTAAGTTTGCTTAATCTCGAGGAGCCTGTTCGCGCGGCCTGGAAAGTATCCCAGGCGGCTCTAGATCAGTTGTTCCAAAAAGGGCGGGACCAACTGCGTGAGTGCGCAAAATCATTGATCGAGACGTCGGTCGCCCTGGGACAGTCCACACTCGTTCCCGGAAAGTCTCAACTCGGTCCAAAAGAATTGCAAGAGAGCTACGCGGTGTTGGCGCGTTGTTTCGCTGCGCTGGGACCATCGGCTAAAGCTTTCCTTGAGAGTTTGACAGAAGGAACGGGTTCTGCTAAACTGTCAACCTCAATGATCGATTCAGTGACACTCAGGAGAAGAGGATTAATTGATACATACACGAATCTCGTGGTATGCAATAGATGATGACGACAGAATCTTTTGTTCTGTTCAGGACAGTTTTGAATCTGTTTGCACAATTCTTGTCTTTTCCGCGCGGTATTTTGGAGTCTTTGAAGCATTTGGAGAAATTCGTGAGTTCTTTGTTCCATTCATCTCTAACTAGACATATTTTAGGGCAGCGCGAACTGAAACTTCTAAAGGTAGAAAACCAGCCAGCAGCAGCAAGTCAGGAGAAGGAAACGAAAGTACAGAAATACGGGCAACCATCAAGTCGAGCCACGTTTGAATCAAGCATGCTTTTCGGTCCGATCCGCGATGTTGTTGATTTATTATTTACAATTATCAGAGACCATCGAACTGTTAAAAAATTAGCTCCCCTCGCTATTTTATCTCCATTAGCATCCGATCTCAAAGGACTCCCAATGATGCAAGAAAAGGAAGAGACCCCTCAGCAGGATGTTCTAACGTTTCTTTCCAAAGACATTCAACTCATCGATGACACCAAGATCTTAGAGGTCTTAGCCAGCTCAGCAACATCACCTAATATCGAAACACGGCGGAAACGAGTTCAACTTCTCTATGCTTTTCGTCACAAACTGCTTCAAGCGACGCGCTCAATTGATCGTCCTTTGATTGATTCAGATTCATTCTCTCGTGCTTCTTCATTCATGAGGCCTTCCATGTCGATGGCGAGTACTCCGACACGTTTATTCGATGAACCAGCTTCAGATCAACCAGTGAAACTCCCATCATTTCTTCAACAACCCTCTGATGAAAAACGTCCTCGTTACTGGATGCGATCGGAAAGCCATGGAAAGTCTTCCTTCGTTCAGATTCCCACTTGCGATGATCAAAATGAGACTCCTGATGCTCCGCGGACTCCAGACAGGTGAACAGCGTCCTTCTGTTTGAAATCCTTCTTTAATCCTTCTGATTGATTCTTTGCTTCAGACTTTCTAAACTTCCTTCATTCTTTAGTTCAAGAAGCGCCACACCATCCCCTCAGCCTAAATCGCCTTCCAATTCTAGATCTGTGTCTCGATCATCAAGAACCCCAACCTTCAGGCCAGCAAGACAAAGTTTGCCAGTCGTCTTATCAGAACTCATCACGAAAACTTCAAAATCTCATGACGGGCATCAACAAGAAGAGAAACAGCTATTCGATCGATGCAAGACTGGCGGGTTTCAATTCTCTGCGTCCCGATCAGTTGATAGAGTATCGATCCAACGTGCTAAGATCAAACCTATTCTTCACTTCAGCACTTCACCTCCTGCTCCTGATATGTTGGAATTTCCTCCCCCTGCTGTTTCTCGAATCCCTGAGACTGATGTGTTGAGCGATGAGAGCATGGCACTCTGTACTGGAAGTGCGGAAATGATAAGCGAAGTCTCAACAAGGGCGTCTATTCCATCAAGAATTAAAGAAAACAGTTTCTCGGTTAATGGTCCACTTGGTTCACGTAATTCTCCATCTGCGACGGATCCTTCAAAGAAATGTTTGCGAGTGACGCAACCGTCTGGAGAAAGAAGAATTTGTAGTCGCCATATGGGGAGTGGAATGGAGGCGAAAGATAATGAGACGATCCCCAAAACATGTGTGGGACTATTCGAGGAATACGAAACTTCCGAGGTCGAATGCGCCGAAAAGAAGTTGCCTCTTGATATTAAAAGGCTGCGATTACCGTACTTGCCTCAAAGCCGACCAAGACAGGAAGAAGAACAATCCCAACTCACTTCATCATCCACAGCAACAATAGAACTCGAAGAACAATCCCAACAATCCCAACTCACTTCGTCATCTACTGGAAGGATAAAACTTGAAGAACAGTCCCAACAATCCCAACTCACTTCGCCATCCACAGGAAGGATAAAACTTGAAGAACAATCCCAACTCACTTCGTCATCCACTAGAAGGACAGAAGAACAATCCCAACTCACTTCGTCATCCACTAGAAGGATAAGACTCGAAGAACAATCCCAACAATCCCAACTCACTTCGCCATCCAGAGGAAGGATAAAACTCGAAGAACAATCCCAACAATCCCAACTCACTTCGTCATCAACTGGAAGGATAAAACTTGAAGAACAATCCCAACGATGCCAACTCACTTCGCCATCCACAGGAAGGACAGAAGAACAATCCCAACTCACTTCGTCATCCACTAGAAGGATAAGACTCGAAGAACAATCCCAACAATCCCAACTCACTTCGTCATCCACTGGAAGGACAAAACTTGAAGAACAATCCCAACAATCCCAACTCACTTCGCCATCCACAGGAAGGATAAAACTTGAAGAACAATCCCAACAATCCGAACTCACTTCGTCATCCACTGGAAGGACAAAACTTGAAGAACAATCCCAACAATCCCAACTATCCCAACTCACTTCGCCATCCACAGGAAGGACAGAAGAACAATCCCAACTCACTTCGTCATCCACTAGAAGGATAAGACTCGAAGAACAATCCCAACAATCCCAACTCACTTCGTCATCCACTGGAAGGACAAAACTTGAAGAACAATCCCAACAATCCCAACTCACTTCGCCATCCACAGGAAGGATAAAACTTGAAGAACAATCCCAACAATCCGAACTCACTTCGTCATCCACTGGAAGGACAAAACTTGAAGAACAATCCCCACAATCCCAACTATCCCAACTCACTTCGTCATCCACTAGAAGGACAGAAGAACAATCCCAACTCACTTCGTCATCCACTAGAAGGATAAGACTCGAAGAACAATCCCAACAATCCCAACTCACTTCGCCATCCAGAGGAAGGATAAAACTCGAAGAACAATCCCAACAATCCCAACTCACTTCGTCATCAACTGGAAGGATAAAACTTGAAGAACAATCCCAACGATCCCAACTCACTTCGCCATCCACAGGAAGGACAGAAGAACAATCCCAACTCACTTCGTCATCCACTAGAAGGATAAGACTCGAAGAACAATCCCAACAATCCCAACTCACTTCGCCATCCAGAGGAAGGATAAAACTCGAAGAACAATCCCAACAATCCCAACTCACTTCGTCATCAACTGGAAGGATAAAACTTGAAGAACAATCCCAACGATCCCAACTCACTTCGCCATCCACAGGAAGGACAGAAGAACAATCCCAACTCACTTCGTCATCCACTAGAAGGATAAGACTCGAAGAACAATCCCAACAATCCCAACTCACTTCGTCATCCACTGGAAGGACAAAACTTGAAGAACAATCCCAACAATCCCAACTCACTTCGCCATCCACAGGAAGGATAAAACTTGAAGAACAATCCCAACAATCCGAACTCACTTCGTCATCCACTGGAAGGACAAAACTTGAAGAACAATCCCAACAATCCCAACTATCCCAACTCACTTCGCCATCCACAGGAAGGACAGAAGAACAATCCCAACTCACTTCGTCATCCACTAGAAGGATAAGACTCGAAGAACAATCCCAACAATCCCAACTCACTTCGTCATCCACTGGAAGGACAAAACTTGAAGAACAATCCCAACAATCCCAACTCACTTCGCCATCCACAGGAAGGATAAAACTTGAAGAACAATCCCAACAATCCGAACTCACTTCGTCATCCACTGGAAGGACAAAACTTGAAGAACAATCCCCACAATCCCAACTATCCCAACTCACTTCGCCATCCACAGGAAGGACAGAAGAACAATCCCAACTCACTTCGTCATCCACTAGAAGGATAAGACTCGAAGAACAATCCCAACAATCCCAACTCACTTCGCCATCCAGAGGAAGGATAAAACTCGAAGAACAAT